GGGAGGGCGGGGAAGACGGCGGGGGTCCACGCCAAGCCGGCGCGCCGCCCCACCAAGGAGCGCTGCGGGGAGCGCCGTGGTCGACGAGGGGCCACACCACCGTGGAAGGGAGCGGTCGGCTAAACGCAAGAGGTGGCCCTGGGCAAAGGAGTGGCCCCTGGTGCGCGGCCTGGATGGGCTTCCGGGGGGCCAAACGCCAGCGCGCGACACGTTACACCACCACCTCTGTGACCATTCCTCTATCACTATCGCTATCACCATCACTGTCACCGCCACCATCTCCATCACCAACACAGTAACTATCATCAGCATCATCATCATCATCATCATCATCATCATCATCATCATCATCATCATCATCATCATCATCATCATCATCATCATCATCATCATCATCATCATCACCATCAGCAGCAGCAGCAGCACCATCATGAGCAGCAGCAGCAACAGCAGCAGCACCATCACCGCCACCATCACCAGTACCCGTCGCTCGGGCGACCCCAGTGGGCCCGCTCCAAAGGTCACTGCGGCGAAGGGTAAATCTTACGCGCGGTCGAAGAGAGGGGGGTGTCGTTGCCATTGTGCGGGGTGGCCGGGTACAGCCTGGCACGCCGCTGGCATTGAGGCGCACGTGAGGCACAGGGGAAGGCGACACCACCACCATGGCGAGGGGCCAGGCAGGAGACCGGGGTAACAATCCTGGGGGGGGGAAGCTGGTGGGGGTCCAGAAGGTTTCTCCGATGGGGAGCCATGTATGATTGTTCCCTGGTGAAAACCAGGCAGAAGAATGACGTGGGCCCAGGGCTTTTTGAAAATCCTCTCGTGGGAAGGGGAAGCCCCACCGCAAGAAGGATTTACAACACCCTCGGTGGAAATCCCACCAGCCCTCTGGGCGTAGGTGGTCTAGAGCAGATCCTCTTCCACCCCTCCCTCTTCCCCCTTGGGGAGGGGTTTACCCCTCCCCCTACCCCCTCCCCTGGACCTGGACGGGGGGGGCCGCGGGTAGTTAGAGCGTCCAAGATGGCCCAAGACGGCTCCAAGAGCGCCTCAGAGAACCCAAGATGAGCTCCAAGATGGCTCAAGATAGCGCAAGATCGCTCACGATGGCTCCTAAGATGGTTCCAAGAAGCCCAAAGACGGCCCCAAGATAACTCCAAGTGGCCAAACAGCTCCCCAAGGAGGCCCCGAAGAGGCCAAAATCGTCCCAAAACCTAAGGAAAATCAATGATTTTTGCTTTCTCGCCTTTTCGCTTCCGATGGCCATCCGAGGCCTGGAGATGGCTCCAAGATGGCCCAAGAGGGCCCCAAGAGAGCCCCAAAAGAGCCCCAAGACGGCCCCAAGAGCGCCCAAGAGCACTCCAAGAGCGTTCCAAGAGGGGTCCAAGAGGCGATTTTAGGGGCTTCCGAGGGGGGACGCTAATTAAACCCCCCCTCTTGTTTGATCGACTCCCTCCAAGATGGCCCCAAAAGCGCCCCGAAGGCTCCCCAGAGCGCCTCAAGAGGGTCCCAAGAGGCGCCCAAGATGCCCCAAGGCGCCCAAAAAGCCCTCCAAGAGGCCCTCAAAAGACCCCCAAGAAGCTCCTTCCCCTCCTCCTCCTCCTCCTCCGATTCTTCCTCCTTCTCCGTCCTCCTCCTCCTCCTCCTCCTCCTCCTCTTCCCCCTCCTCCTCCTCCTCCTCCTCCGACGACGACGACGACGACGACGACTCCTCTTCCATCCTCCCCCTCTCGGGGTCTGTGACAGCTTCCCCCGCCCTTTGTTATTCTGCATGCTCCCCGACTTCCCTGATCACCTCAACTCCCCTGAGCATCGTTTCTCGATGGGCTGGTGGGGATACGCGAAGCGTCAACAATTGTTGCTTGGTTCCAGGCCAAGGGAGCCATTCCAATCGGGTCCACAAGAGCAGATGGTGAATCAAGTACACCGCGTAACGCGCGCAAATGCTGTGATCCATTGCGCAGGCGGGCTCAACTACTGCACCAGCCACATCCATAAGATTGCTTGGCCACGCAAAACCATTGCATCTTGGCACGCCAACTATTGCGAACTCCTGCTCGTAAAAAGTGGGAGAAATAAATATTACAGCAAAGCAATATACTGTTGCATTCGCGCGCGCGACCTGCGACACCAAAACAAAGATTGCGATCGCAGCTACCGTTTTGTGGTGTAGGTGATCTACGTAAGGAGTTAGCTCTGTATACTCCCTCCTTGCCCTTCGGCGGAGGGTTTCTTCCACTGCGCCTCATTAACAGGCACCCACTCAATCACTCAACCAGCCGCCAGGAGCACTACGCCCCCACCCCCCAACCCACAGCACCCTTGTCAAAACTTAGCCAGGCGAAAAGACCAACCATGTTCAGTTGTAAAAGCCGTCGCTGTCTACACCGGATTCGGAACTCCCTCTGGGGCCACGAAACGTGCGAGGGGTGTGCCGAAGTTGGTGCCGTGGGCGCAGGCGGACGCAGACACTGAGGCCGTCGGTGGAGCTCCCTATGGTGCCATGAGACGCGCGAGGGGTGTCAAATTGGCTGCGGCGGGCGCATGCGAGCGCAGCCATTGGGGCCGTCTGTTGACCTCCCTACATTTGGGAAGCGTGAGAGGATATACCAAAATTGGTGCGGTGGACGCACGCGAACGCAGATACTGAGGCCGTCGGTGGAGCTCCCTTTGGGGCTACGAAGCGTGGGAAGGGTGTGCCAAAACGGGTGCAGTGGGCGCATGCGAACGCAGCCACTGGGGCCGTCGGTGGAGCTCCCTATGGGGCCAAGAAGCGTGTGAGGGGTGTGCCAAACTGGGCGTGGTGGGCGCATGCGAACGTATTCATTGGGGCCGTCTGTGGACATTCCTACATATGGGGCCATGAAACGTGTGAGGGTGTGCCAAATTGATGCGGTGGGCGCATGCGAGCGCAGCCACCGGGGTCGCCGGTGGAGCTCCCTATGGGACCACGAGACGTGCGAGGGGTGTGTCAAATTGGGTGCGGTGGGCGCATGCGAACGCAACCGCTGGGGCCGTCGGTGGATCTCCCATCGTGTGCCACGAGACGTGTAAATGGTGTGCCAATTTGGGTGCGGTTGGCGCATGCGGGCGCAGCCACTGGTGCCGCCGGTGGAGTTCCCGATGGAGCCGCGAAACGTGTGAGGGTGTGCCAAAGTTGGAAAGGTGGGCGTATGCGAACGCAGCCACTGGGGCGTCGGTGGAGCTCCCTGGGGCCACGGAGCCCGGAAAGGGTGTGCCAAAACGGGTGCGGTGGGCGCATGCGAACGTAGCCACAGGGGCCGTCGGTGGAGCTCCTATGGGGCCACGAGTCGTGCGGGGTGTACCAAAATGGGTGCGGTGGGCGCGTGCGAACGCTGGCATTGGAGACTTCGGTGGAGCTCCCTATGGGGCCAAGAAGCGCTGTACTGGGTGGGCTGGAATGGACATGCGAGGGCAGAGGCAAGGGTGGGAGGAGGGGGAGGGGGAAGCAGGAGAGGAGAGGAGGAGACGCGGGGAGCTGTCCCCCCAAAACGAGGACCCAACACCACAGGATGGTTGGGAAGAATGCAAGGCGAATGTAGAGGTAAAGTCTCGACCATGAGCGGGCATCCTGGGAGCATCCCCATTCGTTGTCGACAAAAGGTGCGTAGAGAGGGTGTCTTAGTCATGGCCGATTGTCCACTATGCGCGGGACCACTATACCTATGAGTAATGATGCCAACAGGTGGCGGGTTCACACGCCATACACCATGCTGACCACACCGCCAGCACTTTGTCGACGTATTGTACGCTGCGTGCAGTAAGATGCGCTGGAGCACCTGGCGAGCTCTGGGCACGTCGACGAACTGGCGCACCGGGTGCGGCCACAGCATCTGGCACACTTGGCGCACGTGGCGCATCTGGCGCGCCTGGAGCGCTTGGGACGCTGTGGCACATGGCGCACTGTCTGCACACAGCGCACCTGGCACGCGTGGCGCACCTCGCGAGCGTCGCGCATCTGGTGTTTGGATTGGTTCCCAATTGCAACCCATCCGATGACAACCTCTGCCCTGGCTGTCCCCGTTGCTACTTCTTTGGTGGGAGGGTCAGTGGGAATGAGCGACGCAGCCTGCGGCGTCCCCGTTGGGAATTCGGCCCCTCCCACAGCACCCCCCCGTTCCATGGGTGGGGGTCGCGAGCGGTTTGAGCGTCCAGGTTGGCCTAAGATGGCTCCAAGAGATCCCCAGATGGCATCCACGATGGTACAAGAAAGCCTAATAATGTCTCCAACTTGCCTCCAAGACCGCCCGCAATCGACGCTAAGCGGCCGAGGAGTCTCTTGTGTGTGCGCGTGTGTGTGTGTATGTGTGTGTGTGTGCTGCAGTCTCGCCGGTTCGCTCCCGATGGGTTACCGAGCCCTCGAGGTAGCTCCAAGACCGCCCAAGCGAGACCTGAAGACGGGCAACTTCAAGGCTCCCAAATGGCCCCGAGGTCCCTCAAGAGCGCCCCCAAAAAGGTATCAAGAGGCAACTATTCGGGCTCCAACGGGGCAACCCTAACCACGTTTTGTCTGATGGCCGCCGGAATGCCCCCAGGAGGGACTCCAATGCCCCCAAAAGAACTCAAGGGGAACCCCAAGAGGACCCCAGGCTCTGAAAAGGTCAGCAAAAGATCTCGAAGATGGCTCCAGGAAAACTCCAAGAGGTGTCTGAGTGCACTATTGTGAGCATGCTTGTATCACGCCATGCGTCTCTACTTCGCTTTGCCCAGCAAATCGCCTGGGCATCGTATTCGCATTGGCTAGTGGTGATTCGAATCTTTGAAAAATTACAATTCAGTGCTGCAGGCTCGTGCTGATTGTGGATGCCATGACAGTGGACACCCTAGCAATCCGATCGTTGAACTAAACTGACATGTTAGTTCAATATGTCAGTGTTTAAACTGTTTGAAGCATGTTCTAAACATTGTTGAAGCATGCTTCTTACATGTGAACACAGATTTAAACCATGTTTGGATATCTGGTAATCATGCTGCGACCTGTTTCCTCTTCATTTATCGTCCTGCACAACGTTATGAGTCCTGCTGCGAAACAACTGGAAAACATATCAAAATCAGTCTGAAACCGGAGGGGGTCATCGGTATGCTGAGGATGGGCCGTCAGAAGATGAACAGACAATATGTCTGCGTTTCACTCACGCGTGCAAGCCGCGCGCGAGGGTGAGGATCAAGCTGCGCCAAGCGTGGTCCAGCACCTCTAAACTCTAAACCTGACAGGGATACACATTGAATCGAGTAGCAGTGGCAGTGTACAACATAGTGCTAGTAGCACTAGCGATCATGTGGTCCTTCGCCGTATGATTGATTATCGAACCATGACAGAGTCACAAAGTCGTGTCGACCTTGCGGGGCAGGTATAGACGCCAGCCACAATTTCGAAGGCCTTGGGATCTTCTTGTGCAAAGTACGACAAGTACGAGCGCCAAACGAATCCCGAAGACAAAGGCAGTGACGACGCCAACACATAACACAACAAGGAGGAAGCAGCAAGGCACGCGCCCGTAATTAGCCGCACGCGAGACGACAACCCCATTCTCAGACACTGACGGTGCACCCCAAACTCCGCGTCGCTCGGCCCGAGATCACGCCTTCGCCCCCTCGTCCGCCTTGGCGCAGTAGAGGTAGGCCGCGAGCGCCAGACCCTGGGCCACCACCACGTTCAGGAAGGGCTGCATGCCCAGCCCGGACCCGTACGCCGCGAGGCCTGCGGCCACCAGCCACGCCTCGTAGAGGGCGAAGAAGGCCAGGCACGCGTCCCCGACGGCTCCCGGCGCCAGACGGGTGCCCAGCACAGCGACAGCACCCGCGCCGCACCACACCAGCTCGGCGACCTGCGCGGCCGCCGGAAGCTCCGCAAAGGGGGGCGCGCCGACCATGGATCGATGATCCTCAGAACGTGCTTGTCCACCGAAGACCTTCGACACGACGCATGCGGTGGTGTAATGGGGGTCGACACAGGCTGCGTGCTGTCGGCGGAGCTGGACGGCGTAACATACACACACACACACATTGGGCGAACACGCGTCCAGAGGATCATCGACTGGAGGGGAGCGTGTTCGCCCCGAAGATGTCCACGAGGTGGAGCACGCTGGCCACGCCGTAGCAGTTCCCCAGCAGCAGGCGAAAGTCCCCCAGCGTCATGCGCTCCTCCGCTGCGCGGACCACGCCGCCGAGGCCCCGCCGAAGCCCCGCCCGGGCCTTCCCCGTGCGCGCCCGGCGGGCCGCGGGCCACGCCGCCACGCCCAGGCACCCCGCGGCGAGCAACGCCGGGCGGGGCGGGCCGGCGTGCACGCTGGCACGGCGTCGGGCGCCCGCGCCGGAGAGCCGTGGCCTCGAGGACCGGCGTGGCCCGGCGGCGGCCACGGGGGGCGCCACCACGAAGCCGCCCGCCTCGCAGCCGCAGAGCACGGACCACAGCCAGGCTGCAGCGGCGGCCCACAGCGCCGCGGCGCGACACGACGCCATGGATGCCCACGGCCCAGCCAGCACGGCCTGGGCACAAGGAGCTTGAGCAGAGGCCGACGGCGACGGAAGGGAAGCGCAGTTTCGAGATGTGCTCAGCGCGCCAAGCGATCGGCCAGGCCTTCGGAAATGTGATTCGGCGGCAATCTGACCATGGGATCATACAAGTACATCGCATGAGACCACCTGTACCGTTTGAAGGCATGGCCACAACCCAGTTTGAGATTACATGGAGTAAACGCCACGGCATCTGATACTCATATACAAGCACCAATTGACCATGGGATCATACAAATACATCGCATGAGACAACCTGTGCCGTTTGAAGGCATGGCCACGACACAGTTTGATGTTACATAGAGTAAACGTATGAGTAAGACGTGATCAAAACCAATACACGAAACCAAATACTGACCGTGGATTGAGTTAATGCTCGTCTGCAAGGTGAAGTCTGAAGAGCTCAGCCTCTGGATAGATCAGACTCGCTCAACCTGGCGGTCTTCCATGAGCACCCCATGCACGAAGCAGCGATCAATGATGCCCGAGCTGACCGTCTTCGTGATTAGCCGTCCGCAATCCTGCTCTCCTCGCACCGGTCTCGTCTAGCATTGCCCCGTCCTTCGTACTCTCCAACTTCCCTTCTTCAGCATCCTTCCTCCTCCTGCTCCTCCTTCCCCTTCTCCCTCCGTCCTCTCCGCTCACACTGAAACGAGATGTGCCTTCTGTTATACACTTGCTGCTCTTATCAGGGCCGCGGATACGCCATCTGTTTGCACGCTCACACTGAAACGAGCTGTGCCTTCTGTTATGCACACTCCTGCCCAGATTCTCACCCACCACTGTCGGAAGCCCAAGCGGATCTGTAGGATCTGCGCGGGTCCCCTCCCCCTGGTGTGCGGGGCGCGCCAGGGAGGGAGGGGCGGCGCCGGAGGCACTGCCAAGGGGGGGCCCTACGCCGATCCAAGGAATCCGCGCGGAACTCCGAGAGTATGCATTGTCCAGGCGAGTGGCCCGGGACAGGGGACCGTCAAATTCAGCCGGATGCAGTGTTGCGTTCCCTCCCTGCCCCCCATGCCTGCCCTGCAGCCCCTGGCATCCTGGAGCCCATCGAAGACGCTCATCGAAGCCGGCCCAACCTCGAATGAAAGTCGAGCACCGGGCGTTGCTTTCTGGGGGGGGGGGGGGGGGGAGAAACGTGCTCCTCTCGTGCCTCGCTTGGGCCCCAGGGGAGCCCTTTTAGGGCCCCTTGCGTAGGGCACGAAAGGTCAACCTTTCTCCACCTAATGTATCGGCCTCCATTACCCAACACCCTCAGAAAGGCCCAAATGGTTGTTGGGTGAGCGATCGAAACCCTGCAATCACGACGTGCTCTTCCACGTTCCGCGCGACTCGCAGCTGACGGTTCTGTCGCTGTCTTCGGCAACCGTGGGAACCCTGTTGCCTGGCACAGCACGTGGCGACCTCGTATCGAGGGAATGAAGTGGCCCGCGTGCCTCGGACGCCTCCCACAGATGGCGCCATGTGAGCCACTCGAGGAGGAGACCATCGTTTTCCACCGGCGGCGACCCTGGGCCTTGCAGTGGCCTGGCCACAGGTCGGCGCTGGGGCACGCGTGACGCTCCCCGAATCAGATCCGCTCAGAGCACGCCCCTGGAGGGTACACCCCGGCCTCTTTTAACCAGCCTCGAACGTATCCCTATCCCTAAGATGGGCGAGCAACAAGTGAGGACAATCTTAGGGATAGGCCCTCAAAAACTGGGGGAATCCTTAAGATCGGCATCGAGGTGAGGTGATGTCAAACATAGGGGTAGGGATATGTTCCAGGCTGGTAATCTTTTCCGAGCCGTGCCCAGCCGTGGCGGCGAGCGGGACCCCTGGGCGCCCGGGGAGCGAGCACCTTGGGGAGGAGGGGCTCTCCGAGCCGCGACTCTCGGAGGCCCGCGCGGATCTCCTGGGGCGGCGCCTGCGACACCGCAGGGGGGGGGGTCCCTACGCCGACCCAGGAAACCCGCGCGGACCTCTGGGAGCGTTGGCAGGGGAGCTCGGCCGCTGCTGCTCTCTGCAGGCGTGAACCAAATCAGAAAAGCAGATCCAACGAAACTGTAAGGCTCACCCAACACTCCAAAGCACGGCTTCCCCAAAAAGCCATCAGGCATGCAAGTGCCGTCTTGGGGCGTGGCCGGCGGGAATGCCGGCGCTGGCCTCCGAGGGGCCACACAAAACCTGCCCACAAAGCGCCCAAAAGAAGGGGCCGACCAAGCGTGATAAAAAACAGGTGTGTTGGAGAAAACAAACTGTGAACAAAACAGCTTATTTGTTCACAGTGCTTTTTATCACACTTGTTTTTTGCTTTGCTATCACACCTGTTTTCATCACACTTGTTGTTGTATCACACTTGTTTCTTATCACCAATTTCTATCACACTTGTTCGGGCGCATGCCCATCCCGACGGAAGCTCTCGCTTGCTCCCCCCTGCTCGATTCCAGGGGCGCGCGGCCGCCGCGGGGCGGGCCCCCCAGCCCCTGGCCCGCCCCCAGCGTTAAGCGGGGACCGACCGTCCCGGTATTCCTAGATGCCTACCACGATCTGTTCTTAGAACCCCCAACAAGTTCTAAGACCAAAAACAATGTTCTTAGAACATAAACCCGATGTGTGAAAAAAAGACCATCTCGGCCAGGAATGTTCTTAGAACATTTCGTGCAGACCACAAAAGGTTCTTGGAACATTCCTTGGTAGGCCTATAGGCGAGCCAGGACGCTTCGCCACTGCTTGAGAGCGGGACCCAAAGGGCGATCTGAACAAACATCACAGCCCAAGAGCCGGCCAGCGGACCCCTCCAGGGGCCAAATTTTCTCCGGGTCTCCGAGCCTGCGTCCACGGAGGCCTCCTTTATATGGGCTCCGAGCAGAAGGGCTCGGAGGATCTCGTCGCATCGCCGATGCTTCGGCGGGGGTCGGCGATGCAGCGGCGACGCCCTCGTGGAGAACATCGGACTCCACATCGAGCCGCATCGCCGATGCATCGGCGATGCGGCGCTGCCCCTCGACGCCATCTGCTCGGACCCCGTCTGGGATGCCCAGACGTTGGAAATAGGTCACCAGACCCCTCCCGGGGTCTCAAAGCATCGATTTTCCGAGCTGCACCCAGCCGTGGCGACGAGGACGTCCTCCGAAGGCCAACAGTGGCTGTCTCAACTGAACCTCCTCCTCCTCCTCCTCCTCCTCCTCTTCCTCCTCCTCCTCTTCCTCCTCACCTTCCCCTCCCTCTCCTCCTCCTCTACCTCCTGCTTCCCTCCACCTCCTTCTCCTCCTAAACCTGCTTATCCAGTTTATCCTGTTCCTCCTCCTCCTCCCCCTCCTCTGAGAGCGGGACGCGCCTCGGGCTTTCGCGACATCGCGCCGGCGCGCGCGACGCGCCACCGCCAAAAGCCCGGGCTGCCGCGCACAAATGAGGCCGCCCGGAGGCGCCCTTGGCGGGGTGGACCCCTCGGGCCATGGGGGGTGCGGCCTCCTCGCCCTCCTCGCCCTCCTCGCCCTCCGCCTCCTCCTCGTCCTCGTCGTCCTCGCCCCCTAGCGCGGAGGACGAGGAGGACAAGGAGGACGTCAGGACGTCCTCGTCCTCGTCCTCCTCGCCCTCTCGAAGCTGGGCCCGCCAGCGAGAGATTCTGGATTTTGCGGGCAGGAACGGCCAGGATGGAATCGATGATGAGTCGAATCGGCTATCTAATCAAGTGAACCGGAGCGGCGGACATGGGCAGCCAGGTCGGTCGGCAAAGATCAGCAGGCTGGTGCCCGGCCATCTTTGATCCCAGGTCGAACCGAATCGGAACCGGAAAGGCTCGAAACTGACCCTGAACCGGAATCGGAGCAGGAGAGGTCGGAACGAGCCCTGGCGGGCGGCGGGGGCGTCCGTGCTGGAGACGACGGGGAGCGAGCGCCCTGCGCGCGAGGACGTGGCGACCCGACGCGGCCTGTGCAGCCTGCGTGCGCGGGCGCCTCTCCCAACCGGCCGTTCTCCGCTGCGCCGCGCGCCGCCCTCCCCTCCCTCCCTTCCGCTTAGTTTCCGCCCTTCTGGGCTACTGTTCCCTAGGAGCCGATGCTAATCATATGCTCGTTGCATGTCCGCGCGTGGTTATAGCCAGCGAGTGCCGCCATCATCTGACAGCCGAGACGGCGAATCGGGAGGGCAATCCAAAAATCCCTCCCGCCTCCCCCCTTCCTGCGCTCGCCCATGTGGGCGCACCCCTTGCCGAAGGAGGCAGATCCAGAGATGGCTCCACGCGTTCGGTTCCACGCACATCCTGGCGCACCCCTCTCACGAGGATCGTGTCCCATAGGAGCCTCGAATTACTGCCAAGGCGAGGGCGAGCTTTTCTGGTTCCTCGTCTAATCTGCGGCACCAGTGGGAGCGCCCGCAAGTGCAAACCTCGCCAGTTTCGGCACGCCCCTCACGCCGATCGTGCATGTTCACATGCGAGCGCAGAGAGCGCGTTCCTACTCCGTTCTTGCCCCGATTCAGCACACCCCTCACGCGGATCGGGCCCCGTGGGGGACTCTATCGGGCGTTCACATTGTGTCCCCGCATGTGTCGGCACACCCCTCACAGGGACTCTGCCCTATAGCGCGCGCTTGAATGAAATCGGCTGAGTCTTCCTCGGTGCACTCCTCGCCCCTCGCCCTCTTCGTGCCTCCCGAAGGGAGTGCTATTTCTGGCGCGCTACTTGCATCTGCGAAGGGCTGTGCCGTTCGCCAAGTGAATTGTCGCTGCCCACATGGACAATACCCACAGGTCTGGGTAATTACGTGCCCCGTTGGACGCCGCGGAGCGCTGGATGTGGATATGTCTCCCGCGACGGCGTCGTCCATCGTTTCATCCTGGCATCGGCGTTTGGCCGCGCTTTCTCGCCTGCTGCCGCTCTCGTCGCTTCTCCTGCCAGCGCAATCCGCTCGGATGCAAGGCCCCTGCACCGCGCAGCACTGCGCCGGGGAGGAAGCGGGAAGGCATCCACATCCAGCGCTGCCCGGGGGGGCACGTCTCCAGATCGGCGCTGGGCGCGAACTC